GGCCCAAAACTGGACACAGTACTCCAGATGAGGCCTCCCCAATGCAGAATACAGGAGAATGATCACGTCCCTTGATCTGCTGGCAATGCCCCTACTTATACAGCCCAAAATTCTGTTAGCCTTTTTGGCAAAAAGGGCAGTGAGGTCTAGATTATTAAGAGCCCTGTGGAACATGCTTTGCTAGAAGCCCCCTCTTTTTTTCTTAATGTGGCAGTGTGATGGTTAGGAAGAGCTTGCCGCTGAATTCCAAGATGGCCTCCAAATGCAATAGCAAGAACTGGCTAATTAATAAATCTCAGTTTGAGAAACAAATGACAATTAGCAGAATCTACCTCTCTTACTTTGGATTTTACAATGCCACCCATCACCATAGTATCCAAGTATCTTCTATGAAAAATCAATAGCAATAGTGAAGTGCCTAGTGGATTTAATGGAGTTTCTAGAACTTCTCCCTTTTGGGGATAAAAAGTTTGCCTGGGGTTTGAATTTTGGGTTTTATATATTTTTTTAAAAAATTAAGTTCCTCTTTTTTCATCTCCTCAAGGGGTTTATTGGGTAGCAGGGGGTGTTAGTGAATGTGAATGTCATTCTTCTGGTGGAGAGGCTTTGTCAAAGCCGAAGGTTTTGCAGTTTTCTAAGGACCTCAGGGTGAGAGGCACCTCAGGAAGTGATGTTTCATAAACAACTCATCTGTCATCTTACCAGCCTTAGCTCAAAAAGCTGGGAGGCCACATTTAAGTCAGAGAGTGCAGTACACAGATAGTTGTATGGGACATTATTATTTATGCAGAAGGCCTGAATTAATCACTAGTATGCTGTAAAGCCAAACTATATTCTGCTGCTCGATACATCTACAATAAAATTGCTATGCTATAAGCAGAACACACAAGGATGATTTGTGTTCTGCCCTTTGATCTGTTCCATTGTTTGAATCTAGCAGTCTAAAAATTAGGCAGAGAAAGTTTTACAGCTTTCAGATTCATGTTGCTTACTTTGTACTGTTTACAGCAATGCAATAAGGTTTACTGTTTTATTAACGCAGTCATATAAAACATATACATTTAGATTAATGCAATATGGAAGCTTAAATAATTGTGAAGAGAAATTATACTTAGTATTTGTAAAGTGCTACATGTAAAATACTAATAAAATGAGCCTTCCAATACCTCTCCACTTAACAGATGGGGAAGTGGAGATGTAGACATTTTAGGGTCAACATTTTCCACTGATTTTTGATATCTCAATTTGTGATGCCTTGGGCCTGATTTTCGGATGTGCTGGTTATCCAATTCCAGATTAAATCAATGGGAGCTGCAGGTACCCATCAGCCCTCACTGATTGCTAACTTGCGTCTTGTTTCCAGTCTTCCATTTTGGGAAAGTTGCTGAGGAAGGTTGTAGCATGGATATGGGACAGAAACTGCAGTGGTGGCCTCCAGGCAATAGAGGAGGATAAAATGTCCATGCTGATTCTTTTAGCTCTATGAGCAGCTTTGGTACCACTGACCATGAGGTGGTTTTGACATGTGTGTGGTCCTGTGACAGGCTGTGTAGACCCCCCCATACTGTAAAAGCCAAGAGGGAGTTAATTGATGGACCAATTGTCCCTCCAGCTGCAACTAAGGGGCCAATTAACAACAGCTGGCATAAACAGCTGCCGCTCAGACAGAGAAGGGCTGCTACCAGAGGGGCTGAAAGTGGCCTTGGGGAAGCTCCACAGTAGCTGGCTGTGAAGAAGATGCCCCAGGAGATAGAACTCCAGAGCAGAAATAGTGGAGTCCACAGCTTGGTGAGAGATGTGTACAAGTGACGGAAAGGTAGGAGTAGCTCAGGGAAACAGGGAAAGATTGTAAGGAGCAGTGCTTACCTGCCTAACATAGGGTCAATGGGCTGGAACCCAGAGGGAGAGGATAGGCCTGGCCTAGCTTCCCCTATTCCCCGAGCAAGAGGGGAAACACAAGCCTCAACACTAGAAGAGGCAGAGAGACTGACGAGCCGAAGGCCTGGCATAAAGGCCATTAGATGTTACCTGTTTCTTTTTTACTTTTTGTTTCCTAGACTGAACTGAAAAGTGACCTGACTGGAGTGCTAGGCCATGGAAACTGCAAACAGCTACAGCACCAGATGACAGACAACAGGGTAGTGAAGAATCCCTGCTACATCCTGTCCTAGCAGGAGGAGATGCTCTGGCGGTGAGTTCACCTTGAGACAGGTCCCTAACAAGGATAGATTAAATAGCTGTTCTCTTTCCATTGTGAGACATCCAGAAGGCACTTTAGGGCAATTTTTAATCTCTCCTAATGGTGCTGTTTTGTGGAGTATCACAGGGTTCTGTCCTCTTTCTCTGTTAAATGTGTATGGCTGAGACCTAGCTTGCTAAAGCTCAGTCACAGAAGATTCTGGTAATGCTGATCGATTGAGGGAAGCAACCAGAAGAACAGGTGAAGAATGACCCCCTTGGTTGAAGGAGCGAAGCTGCCATTTGTGATACAGTTCCCAATCTAGGCATCTTGTTAGACCCTAACGTGTTCTGGATGCCTAAATAACAGATGTGGCCAATACCCCTTTAGAAATCCTCATAAAAACATCCAAGACATGAGACTTTTAATATAAATCAAAATGCACAAGTACTGCACAGGCAGATTTACATTATTACATTTCAATACATTATTTGATACAACATGGAAAAGGAACACATTACATCATGACTGTTTTGGAAATGATGTGTAAAGCACATAGTTATTGCTTCTCTGTTTTTAACAGAGCTGTATCATCACCATAGCCACAAGAAAGACAAACTGCTTGCAGCAATTTAGGATTTTCTGACATTACCATTGGCTATTGGGAGAACAGACTCTGTACATTAATAACATCTAGAAAGGGTCCCGTAACTGTGGAATAGCAGGTCCTTTAGCATGTGAATGCTGTCGTGCTCAGACTTTAATGAAACTTTAAAAATGTACTTGTTTATTTCCATACATATTGTGTACATCACATCAGATTCCAGAAATGTGATTGTATAGTTTTATGCAGGATGTGGTTACACTTGTAATAATGTATTATTCATTTGTCCTTGGCAAAGTTTGAGAAGAAGCTTTGACCAAATGTTAGAAAAGAAAAAAAATCTGAAGTTTTATCCCATGGATCAAGATTTCCATTTCCACTATGAACCAGACCGGATTTTACCATTTCTCTTCCATGAAGGGCTATGTTCCCATCTTCTGTAAAGATCAATGCCTTCAAGAATTTGTTTTTATTTTAGAATCATGCTGTCCATGCATAGTAACCCTAATGCAGACATAATGTTGTCTAATGCAGTTGTTTCCCCATAATGTCAATATTCTGTTTTCTCCTGGTTGTTTAAAATGTAGCCCCAGGCCTTATTTTACTGCACATTATTCAAACTGTGCTCTGGAAAGCAGAATCACTAATTTCTTCGTGGGCTTTCCTATGACACTCAGCACTATAGTATCTGAGAGCTTCACAAATATTAATGATTTTATATTCACAACATCCTGGTGAGATGATGGGGATATTATTATCCCAGTTTTACAGATGGGGAACTGAGACACAGAGATATTAAGGCTAAAAGTGTCCAGTAATTTTGGGTTCCCAATTTGAGATGCCTAAGGCCTGATTTTTCAGAGAACTTAGCAGTTTATACCACTTCATCTGTTCAGAGCACAGTTCCTTTTGACTCGAGTTGCAATTGTGCGGGTACAGCACCGGATGTAATGCAAATGAAATACCAGGTGTCTCAGATTGGACACCTAGAAAATGAGGAACACATTGGGAAGGGAAGGGAATTCTGGGACTGTCATGAGCATCCTCTCCTGATTGACTCATCACCACATTTAGATGAATGATTTTAGAATTCTGTGCAGGAGTCTAGTATTCACAAAAGCGAGAGAACAGCAGCTCTGGCATTCTGGGGTATTTCACTAATCGTGTAAACTGCTAAGCAAAAGAAAATAAACCGGCTCAGGAAATCTAGCAGCAGAGGTGAGGGGGGCAATACTAGTTAGAAGGAGGGATAACTCAGTCACTGTGTGGAAATGTGGGGCAGTGCTAAGTCAGGAAGAGTATGCAGAAGTACTAGAGGTTGAGTGGAGAGGACTAATTATTGCTTTGGATGAACTTGGTCTATAACCCCTGTGTAATGTACAATAATTGCATAAAATAACTCTTCCTGCATGAGGCCCAAATGAATTTAGGAATAGCCCAGGGGTGAAGCTTGTTTTTCTCCCAGAGACCGACGCATTTCACTTGATGAGTGAAGGGATCTCTTTGTATAGTAATCAGTATGTAAAGTTTTGAGTGCTATGAGAACTTTGCTGGAATGTTGCTGCCCTTATAAAAACACAGGAATGTTCTGCAGAAATTATACAAAACATTATATCTTATATCAGCTGGAAGAACCTCAAAGCACTCACAACATCTATTGCAAAAGAAAATGCCGGTGTGATTGGTGATTCAAGTGTGAAACAAGAGGAAGAGCTTTCCCTGCCACTGCTAAGGAGGGTTTCTATGGGGAGAAGCTCTGCTCCTCCAAGCCAGGGAAAGGAGAGGGAGCTCCACTTTCACTCCCCCTTACTGTAACCCCAGATCTGATTGCGTCTTACAGGTTGACTCTCTGTTGAACAAAAGGAAAAGAGGCAAGACAGACAAAGCGAAACAACAGCTACAAGCCAACATCATGGTGGCAGAGCAGGGAGCTCACAAAACAATGCCTTTATTTTCCCAAAGAGTTAGGTCCTGGGGCAGAGGGACCATTGCATGTAAGTACCTGAGCCTACTGCCCCCTGCTGGGCTTACTGGGACAGTGGTATGGGGCTGGCTGTTAGGTTAGTTATTGCAGGTTGCAGTCTCCAACTGTTGCAGGGAGGTTTGCAAATGTCAGGGCTACAGGCAGGCTGCCAGGAACCCCCCTGTGTGTTTTGCTCTTAGAGTCTTCATGTTGCCAGTGCCAAATTTAACGTGCCTTCAGATCACATGGTGCCTATTTATAGACCATACAAATGTACTTGTGCCCACAGCCAGTGAGCTGCTGGTGTGAAGGTCACTGACTGACTGTCAGCTTCCCTGCTGGCCTGTCCTTTGTATCTCATGGGGGGCAGAGCTCACTCCTAAGGACACCAATCTCAGGTTAGTCCTACCTTAGTCTTCCTCTTCTTTCTTCAACATGTCCCACTTGCCTTTCCAGGCTCTGCTATTATCACTGTCAACTCTTTTTTCATGGGGGAAAAAGGGTCTTACCCTTGCTGGTGCCCTTCTTCAAAGGCCAGGACTGCTGTGTCAGAGCAAATGAGATTTTAAATGTCTCCTTCAAACACACAGCAAAATCCTTCAGGCCAAGAGCAAGTTGTGTCTGTCTGTCTTTAAAACTACTCCCTAAATGAAGGAATCTCCTTCCCAGTGAGTGAGATGTGGCAAGGCTGCCCTACCTTTCAAAATCAGGGGTCACAGTACAATCTACTAGGGCATGAATATAAGGTTTCTACACACTGGGCCTGTGTCGGATCCAACTTATGCTGGTGCAAATCAGGAGAACCCTCACTGAAATGAATGGTTCAAACCTGCAGTAAAGAAAATCATGATCAGGCCTTGTAAACTAATCCGAGATAGGCTTATAAATCTCCCACAGACCTTAAGGCTGCAACAGAACAGTTGTGGGAGACTTTTTGGGGGGTTTTCATGTAAGGATGCACTGCAGATATCAGCATTATGCTGAAAATATAAACATAAAATAGGTAACTAACTCTGCCACATCCAGCAGCTTGGTGTTAAACAGATAACATTTCAAAAAGCTTTGCCCAAACATTCAGAAGAATCAGGCTGTATTTCCTTCAGCCATATGAATCAGTGTTGTCTGGTTATCATGCTATTGTAGGGGAGGGTAAATTCCAAATCTGTAGTTGAATTTGACTGAACATTAATATTTTTCTTTTTGTCATGCAGAGCTGAATGTAGGTAATATGTGGGTACCAAATGTGTTGTGAGCCAAATCTGAGTTTTGCAGATTCTTACTAGGTCAGTAGTTCCCTATCCCTACAGGGGTGAAGCATGAAGAGGCCTATCAGTGCAGGATTTGTCCCTTATCTATAAGCAGTTGGATTTTTTTTGGTTGGTTTTTGTGATTATTATTATTATTATTATTAATAATAATAACCATTATTATTATTATTTATTTATTTATCTATTTATTTGTATCTGGAAAAGGAGAAATAGGTCTTTGTTCTGATTGTCTGAGGAAGTTTATTTCCAGGATAAATAAGTAGGAAATAGAAATTCTGTTAGTTTGGTAGATGAATTTAGTCAGAGATTCAACATGGGTCAAGAGGTCTGATGTAAAGGGATGGGAGCCAGGAAACCCTGTATTCTAATCCCTGCTTTAGTGCTGTCTCTTTTTGTGGCTCTATCCAAAGTATCTTAGCATCTCTGCCTCAGTGAGCCCACATGTAAAATGGACATAATGCTTACTGCAGAAGTGTTGTGAGAACTAACCAGTTAATGTTTTTCATAGTGCTTTGAAAATGTAGAGCTCTGTATAAGCACTAAGCAGAGGTGGGCCCAAGATATAAAATTAAGATGCCAATTTATATTTCCAGTGTGTTCAGCTCCAAGATTTTGATTTGTAAATCTTGAAATAAGTAATGTATTGTGCTGGTTTATGGAATCAGTGTTATAGCTGCTAATTAAAATGTCTTTTTGCTTGTTTAGTGACCTCAGAAGAAGGATATTGTGAAAAATAAGCTTTAATACATGATTTATGTATAATTTAACAAAAACCAAATTTTGGAACCATATATTTTGATAATGAACTACACTTAGTCTATGACATCTGTATATAGCTCTCCACACAGTTAGGCCACTTTGGAAAATAGATTTGCCTAAGTGTGTGTGTGTGTGCGTGCGTGTGTGTGCGTGCGTGTGTGTGCGTGCGTGTGTGTGCGTGTGCGTGTGTGTGTGTGTGTGTGTGTGTGTGAACGAATGGTCCATCATAATGCAGTTATCATTTAAGGAGCTGCTAAGTTTTTAATTCTGAATTTTCAGGGTGGTGGGTGTGGGTTATGTGGTTAATTAATCTTAACAATTAACATTATTTTTCCATGTAATTGCATACAGAATGTGCTAGTGGTACAAGAAGTAGTAATTACTGTACAGTAACCACTCCTTTCAATATTTTTTTCATTACTGAAAGCTGCTGGCCTGCATTATGGACTAATGTCCTGTACAATTTAATTTAATTTAATTTCAGACTGATTGAACTCTGTAAACCACTGGAGAAACAGAAGCGTATAATGGAAACACATCCATATCCCAATCTTAACAGCATTAAAGATCAGCACTGAAAGACACAGGGCCCTTCACTTCCCTGCACCCTGTTGAAGTGGAATGAAAAAGGGCCTGGGTAGAGGGGAGGGATGTTTCTCTAAAACTATTGTCCAATAAAAAGAAAAGGGACTGAAATTCTTTAGAACCTAGCGCTATGATTTGGGATGCATTGACTAGATTGCTTGCTGGTTGAGAATGATTACTCTGAAGCTGGAGTGAGAAAGGTAAAGCTTGGTGCATTTACTCACATGTCAATCTGGTGTAGATGTCTAAAGTAAAGCCACGATTCAGATGAGGGAGCTGTGATGGAATGGTGTTCTTCCTTTTTTTTCATCCCCAGAGAATTCAGTGTTGCTAACTCTAGCAATTTTACTGTAAGTTGCACAATATTTGTTCTTTTCCTTAAAGCCTCCGCTCCAGAAGTCATGTAAATACATGAGAATCTCAGCTTTTATTTAAAAAGAGGTTCTAACCCTCATGGCTGCAGACAAATGCTTGAAAATGTGACATGCAAGGGCCCCCAAACCAGTAAGCAAATAAAAGGAACCCAAAATGTATTATTCTGAAAAAAAATCTTGTGATTTTTTTTTTCAGGTCAATCTCATGATTTTGGGGCTGACTCATGATTTTTTGATTGCTTGGGGTTGGCCAGCAATGCTTTCTCATACCGTCAATGAAGGAAAGCATCCTCCCCATAATCTCTCTCCAGAGATCTGGGGTCAGGTTCGAGGGTGAGACTGGGATGGAGCATTTGGGACAGAAAACATAGAATATTGAATGTTATGTTGTGGTGATTAGGAATTCTGGGATTGTAGGTGTGTGCTGTGAGTTTCTAGCAATGCACCACCAACTGCACTTCCCATTTTGAACCTGACTCTTTTCCCCCCTCTATGTTTGCCCAGCATAGAATTCTAATGACACCTACAAATGTTACTGTTTGCAGTAACTGTGTACTTGGGGTTTGTTTTCCTTTCTGACAGCTACCAAATGAAGTAAAACAAAGCCAAGATAATTGCTTTTAAACTGATTAAAACGGCCCAGATAAAAATGTCAGTGTAAGACTGATGAACATGTGTGAGTGTAATATATGACGTGTACCATGTGCAGCCATGATGTCAGTAGACTGGTGTTTGGAGGCAAATGAGTTTTAAAGAGACAGCAGTGATCTATGGACTGTCCTGCAAGGACCCTTTGCCAGCTATGTTCTAACTTCTATTATTGAGATTTTATTTTCATGTAGTGCTATGTGGTGTGAGTATGGAACTCATAGTTTCACTTCACTATTATGTCTCTCAGAAATTCAATCAGTGAGCAGTCCTCAATGAAAAGCAGAAACTACTTCAGCATGAACAGGTTGTTCCTTTGCACATGCCAGTCTGGTGGTGTAAGATTTTTTTTTTTTGAGTAGTCTGAGTAAACTCCTGTTGGAAATAAAGTAATTATACTGGATTGCGGAATTAAAAGTCAGGACAATCTAGTGCAAGCTTTTGCCCAATTTGTAATTTTGACTGTAGCTCAAGTCTGGCTGGTTCAGTGACCTGGCAGAGTGCCTAGGCAAGTCATCAGCTTTCAATTCCACATACATCACCTGATGCAAAGGCCTTGTACTCAGTCATTCTACAGTAATATTAAAGGAATATTGCTGAGTTTTCTTCTTGCCCCTTTAAACATAAAACTATGCAGATTTGAGCCAGGTTAATCAAGCAACTTGGTTTCAATATGGCTTTTATATCTACAGGGCAACTGGACCAACATCAAGGGCACAGAAGAGTGTTCTGTTCCCAGAATTTGCTGAGATGAATGGTCTAGTGCGATGCATCACCAGTTGCTCAGTGCCCTTGCTTCACAGTATAAATTCTAGCACACTGCAGCCAGCAACCGGACAACGTTCTTTTAGAACTTTCCAAATCTTATGGAATCAACAGACAGCCAAAGGTACAATATGTATTTGATTTGACTGTATGTAAATACTGTTGTCATAATTCTGTAGTTTTATTTTCAAATGGATCATAATGTTGTGGAGGCTTATTTTCTTTTACAGAGGTCATCTGGAGGTCAATGTCATGTATAACAGAAAAATCTCTACAGTGATTTGCATTTGTAAAAATACACCATATTTCATTCACTCAGATATTGAACTGGCCCTTAATTTGAAAAGGGGTTGATCTATTTTTTTATTAATAGAAATACACAGGGTCAGTCTCTGACCTCAGCTACATTGACATACACCAGTATGAAAGGGAGAAGAATTTGATCTATTATGAGGCAGAAGTAAGTTTAGGCTCAAGAGCTCACTGAGCTTCAGAACGTTTTTTAAAATTGTGGAAATCCATCCATCTACTGCCAGTACTGTAGTTAAGTGACCACTGTACAGAATAATATTTAGGTTAATTTTTGAACTCACTGGACTTCCAATGACTTGCCCAGTGAAGATTTTCTAAGTTATCGCTGGCCAGTTGCCAGGTACTGTTATTGCTAAAAATGATGTAAAGGAGCCAGCGGGTATTATTCCTATTGCACAGGACTCTGTAAACATGGCCTTAGAGCAGGGGTAGGCAACCTATGGCACGCGTGCTGAAGGCGGCACGCGAGCTGGTTTTCAGTGGCACTCACACTGCCCGGGTCCTGGCCACCGGTCCGGGGGGGCTCTGCATTTTAATTTAATTTTAAATGAAACTTCTTAAACATTTTAAAAACCTTATTTACTTTACAAACAACAATAGTTTAGTTATATATTATAGACTTATAGAAAGAGACCTTCTAAAAACATTAAAATGTATTACTGGCATGCGAAACCTTAAATTAGAGTGATTAAATGAAGACTCAGCACACCACTTCTGAAAGGTTGCCGACCCCTGCCTTAGAGTGAAAGACTCACTGTTGACAAAGGGCTAAATCCTGTTCCTAGGGATAAAACTCCACTGCTGTCAATGCCACAGGATCAAGGCCTGAACAATAATTAAAAAACCCTTTTTATAAATATCTGCAGCAGACAGTTGTGGGGGAGGTGGGAAGAAGGAATGTGCACACACGTGTGTGTGTGTGTGTGTAGGCTCCATGTTTGTATTTGTACACCTCCATTTGTATGAATATTTTTCCACAGGCACGTTGAGTTCCTCAGGAGCCTGGAACAGTGGGAGGGCTGGTCTTTTGACAGGATTCTAGTTCCTGGATGGTCGAGAAAGTGTGGCAGTTTACCATTTCCAATGTTCTTCAGGCTCAGAAGAGGGAAACACCAGTAAAGAAATCATATACACCAGTATTGAGAGATTCTGGTTTATTTGGCTTTATTCAAATACCAGGATTTATACAGATTCCTTCAGAAATCAAATTCACGGTCCTAATGATAAGATTATGAAATTAATCTCCAGCATGTTCATTATAATAAAATACTTGATTAGAAAGTACTGAGGTAACAGAGAAAGGGTGAATCCTTTCTAATGAGATCCTTGCAATGATTTGGTTTAAGCAACTAGTTAAACAGTTTTAACCATCTAGTAATCTAGGGCTATTGTTACATTGCTTTGTAGCAGGCAAGCTGGTGTGTATTTATTTTACGATATGTCAGGGAAATTTTACCAAATGCTGAGCAATTTCCAGAAATGGTGAGGCAACTCTTGATGCCTCAGTGCTACCAAAAAGTGAACCACAACTGGAATGCTGAAGAACTGGACTAATAGACATGTAACGGGACAGGAAATATTAACTTCCTGCCTGTCATCGAACAGTCACTACTTTCTTCTTCTCTCAAGAAGATTCGGGTTCTCATGGGAATCATAGATTCTTGGATCTTGTGTGTGGTGATGTGAGTTAATACAGGAGGTATTTATGTGTGTTGCTACTAATGTGGCTGGGTCAGATCACCTCATCCCATGGAAATACCTGACAGAAAAGGTGTAGGTGGAGGAAACATTTCCCCCAAATTATTCAGTTGGGGGCCCTGTTGGCCACATTTGAACCATGTTTCCTGACATCCCCTTCCTGCCCAAGGTCTACCAGCAAGAGGGTTAGATAGTTTGGAGGGGCTGTGAGGCTATGTTACCTCTTCAAATTAAGCTCCATTGGGCTGGCAGGAAGAAGGTACATCCCGCATTCACAACTCGCTGACCTATGCACATGCTACCTCCTAGCCAACTCTGGCCACATGAAGAACCATCCATGTAGTCTTGAGGAGGTAGATGGGTGCCAGAGAGCTGTAGGAGATCCCTGACCTGTACTTGTGTAAAGTAGACAGCAGAGGCATTAGAAATACCATACAGAGGTCACCTGTACTATGTACCATTTTAGTTGTTTTCCTCTATGATTATATTTTCATAGAATCATAGAAATGTAGGGCTGGAAAGAACCTTGAGAGGTCGTCAAGTCCAGGCCCCGGTACTGAGGCAGGACCAAGTAAACTTAGGCCATCCCTGACAGATGTTTGTCCAACCTGTTCTTAAAAACTTCCAACAGTGGGGATTCTGCAACCTTCCTTGGAAGCCTATTCCAGAGCTTAACTACCATTATAGTTAGAAAGTTTTTCCTAATATCTTACTTAAATCTCCTCTGACGCAGATTAAGCCCAATACCGCTTGTCCTACCTTCAGGGGCCATGGAGAACAATTGATCCCTGTCCTCTTTTTATAATAGCCCTTAACATATTTGAAGCCCTCCTCACCTGTCTTCTTTTCTCAGGACTAAACATGCCTAATTTTTTTTAACCTTTCCTCAAGGTCAGATTTTCTAAACTTTTTATCATTTTAGTTGATCTCCTGTGGACTTTCCAGTTTATTATCCACATCCTTCCTAAATTGTGGTGCCCAGAATTGGACACAGGACTCCAGAGAAGTCCTGAGTATAGCAGGACACTTTACCTCCAATGTCTTACATAACACTCCTCTTATTACACCCAAGAATATTAGCCTTTTTCGCAACAGCATCACATTGATTCATTCAATTTATGATCCACTATACCTCCCCATATCCTTTTCAGTAGTTTTAGTGCCTAGCCAGTTATTCCCCATTTTGTAGTTGTGCATTTGATTTTTCCTTCCTAAGTGTAGTACTTTGCATTTGTCTTTACTGAATTTCATCTTGTTAATTTCAGACCAATTCTCCAATTTGTCAGGGCCCTTTTGAATTCTAATCTTATCCTCAGAAGTGCTTGAAACCCCCTCCCAGCTTCATGTCAGCTGCAATTTTTAAGTCATGAATGAAAATATTGAATAGTACCACACCCAAGACTGATTCTGCAGAATCTCACTAGATGCATGCTCTCATTTTGACCATGAACCATTGATAACTAATATAAGTATGGCATTTCAACCAGTTTTGCACCCACTTTATAGTAATTTCATCTAGACCACATTTCCCTAGTTTGCTTATGGCAATGTCATGTGGGACTGTATCAACAGCCTTAGTAAAATCAAGATGTCACATCTACTGTCTTCCGTGATATCCACTAGGCCAGTAACCCTGTCAAAGAAGGAAATTGGGTTGGTTTGGCATGATCTGTTTTTGACAAATCCATGCTGGCTATTCCTTATAACCCTTATTATCCTCTAAGTGCTTTGAACTGATTGTTTGATCATTTGTTCCAGGTTCTTTCCAAGTATTGAAGTTAAGCTGACTGGTTTATAATTCCCCAGGTCCTCTTTGTTCCCCCTTTTAAAAAATATGTACTGTGTTTGCCCTTCTCCAGTTGTCTGGGACCTCAACTGTTCTCCGTGAGTTCTCAAAGATAATTGCTAACAGTTCCAAGATTGCTTCATCTAGTTCCTTAAGTACCCTACGATGAATTTCATCAGGCCCTTCTGACTTGACTTGAATACACCTAATTTATCTACATATTCTTTAACCTGTTCTTTTCCTATTTTGCCTTGCATTCCTTCCCCCGTTGTTGTTAATATTAATTATATTGAGTATCTGGTCACTATTAACCTTTTTATTGAAGATTGAAGCAAAGTAGGCATTAAACACCTCAGCCATCTTGATGTCATGAGTCATTAGCTCTCCTTTCCCCGCTAAGTAAAACATGTACACTTTACTTTGTCTTTCTCTTGCTCCTAATGTATTTAAAGAACCTCTTATTATTGTCTTTTATGTCCTTGGCTAGGTGTAACTCATTTTGTGCCTTAGCCTTTCTGATTTTGTTCCAACAAGGTTTTGCTATTCTTTTGTACTCCTCCTTAGCAATTCATTCATGTTTCCACTTTTTGTAGGATTTCTTTCTGATTTTTAGGTCACTAAAGAGCTCCTGAGGAAGTCATTTTAGCCTCTTACTATTCTTCCTGTCTTTCCTTCTCATCAGGATAGTTTGCAGTTGTGCCTTTAGTACTGTCTCCTTGAGACACTGCTAGCTCTCCTGATCTCCTTTTTCCCTTAAATTTTCTTCCTGTGAGAACTTACCTACCACTCCTCTGCGTTTATTAAAGCCTGCTTTTTGTGAAATCCCTTGTCCTTATAATGCTGCGGTCACTCCTTCCTTTCCTTAGAATCTGTCATGTCATGGTCACTTTCACCCAAATTGCCTTCCACCTTCAGATTCTCTACCAATTCCTTCCAGGTGGTCAGAATCAAGTTTAAAATGGCTGTTCCCCAGTTACTTCCTCAACTTTCTGAAACAAAATATTGTCCCCAATACATTCCAAGAGCTTACTGGAAATTTTGTGTTTTACTGCATTACAAGAACTAGGGGTCACCAAATGAAATTAATATGCAGCAGGTTTAAAACAAATACAAGGAAGTTCTTCATGCAGCACACAGTCAACTTGTGGAACTCCTTACCTGAGGAGGTTGTGAAGGCTAGGACTATAACAGCGTTTAAAGAGAACTGGATAAATTCATGGTGGTTAAGTCCATTAATGGCTATTAGCCAGGATGGGTAAGGAATGGTGTCCCTAGCCTCTGTTTGTCAGAGGATGGAGATGGATGGCAGGAGAGAGATCACTTGATCA